CGAGTAAAAACATGGCCAAAAGAACACAACTCAATGGAGACAAGTCATAACAACCAACTCACAAGTAATGCCCAAAATCCACTAAAATCAACCACAAAGTGTCTCACCCCTAAACTCAAAATCAAACAATCATTAAAATTAATAACGAGGGAATAAGAACACGTACCGGGGAGGCGAGACAATCTCGCCTCCTAGTATGGTTGCTGATGATGCACCGGGCATGATGGCATAAACTCGGGTTGGGGCGGGACTCTCCTCCATAAATTGCGTCTTTAGGCTTAATTATTCCTATGCCGAGCCAACTCGTCAAAGAGTGACTTTCGCCCATAGTACGTGTCATACAACACAATGTATGGGTCTTGATTCTTTACACCCTCAAACTTGGCGAAATTTGGCGGTTTTCGGCTCATTTGCTCAACTCGACTCGGCGCCGGCATATGCGCTTAGTTGGTGCGGAAGAACGGTGTTCGAGATGGTGGGGGAGTTGCCGGCCACATTGGGTCTTCATAGATGTGATCTTTCTCAACCGGGGGTGGCACGACAATGGGGATCTCGAGGGATTGAGACTCATTAACATCTTCTTGAAATTCTTCACTAATCAATTCTTGAGTCTCCTCCTCTCTCAAAGAGTCATATTCAAATAACTCTCATTCCTCCTCTTGTGTTTCTCTATTCATGGCGTTAGTAGATTCATCAAGAAGCAACTTCAACCTAAACAACTCCGCTAGACTTGTCTCCATTTCCTCGTGAAGTTGGTCGAGTGCCTCCATCCTCTCTAACTTCTCTATGCGGAGTCTTGTCTCCTCCGAAAATTGGGCGACAAGATCTTCAAGGTCTAGAGAAGACTCCGCTTGCTGAGGTTGAGTGTCATCCCATGGCTCTAAAAAGGTTAAAAATGTAAATAAAAAAGTTTTTCATAAGCACCAAGGACATGGCTTGTTCTAAAAGTGTTTAAAAAAGTTAAAAACACTTTAAGGTTATCTACCTAAACAGGTTCAAAAGTGACTTTTAGACTAAATAAGCAAAAGGCGGCTTTTTTAAGCCAATCCAAACGAACTCTTAGTCCAAACCCAAATAAACCCTTCAAACAAGGAGAATTTTTAATTCTTACTAATTATTAAAAAGTCAAATTTTCATGTCCTTAATTGGGGGTAAATCCAATACTCGGACTAATCTAATAAATGTGATTTTTTTTTTTGTATTCTAGTGTAACATTGCTTGTTTAGGTGTGTAATATTTAGTTTCCACAAATATAACATTTAAAAAATATAGTATAATACATGTAACATTGAACATTACAAAATAAGTTACATATGAATGAATATTTGTCAGAGACTGACCGTGCTGGATTTAAGAATTTACGTCTATAAATATAAAAGACATTCTTAATCATGAGACCGCAAAAAAAAAAAAAACAAATAAACAAACAAACAAACCGTGAGATCTCGTTTTCAACCGTTAGATTAATTTTCAACGGGTATATTTGTGCAGATCCATATTAAAAAATTACAATACGCCACTGAGAATTGTTCTTGCTACATATTTAACAGTCAGTTACAACGGAGTGCTCCACTGGCAGGGTTTTTGGTTCTCACATTAGATAATGCCTTTTTCTAAAAATAAAAAAAAGAAAAATTAAGGAATTGTTAAAATTGTACTTTGGCCCCTTAATTCTTCCCAGTTTTCATCTCGCACTCTCCTTCTTTTTTCCCCTTTTCCTTTTCTTCTTTCCTCTCTCTCTCCCGGGAAGCACAACAGAAGTTTTCTTTCCAGTGAGTAGAATGCCAATTTCTACTGCAAAACTTCTTGTAGCGAGGAGAAATATGTTATAGAGATCTCAAAAACTTTTGAGGTAGTTTTCTCTCTTGAATGATCTTAATCCGAAATTTCCTTATTGAATTTTTAGTAATTCCCTCTTGATTTCAATTCTAACTGTGATGAAATCTCTTTTTTCATTATGATTTAAAAAGATGTATTAGATTTCTGAAACTCTCAAGTACTTATATATGAGCCTATTGAGTTTTTTCTTGTTTTTTTTTTTTTTTTTATTTTTAGCTAATCCCAATTGTTCATAGTTTTTGAGAATACTGGTTCATGTTTTTATGAGATTGATCTTAAAATTAAAAAAAAATATTTCTGCAAAAATTATGGAACCAAGCTCCATAGATTTTGAGAATACTGGTTCATGTTTTTATGAGATTGATCTTAAAAGTAAAAAAAATATTTCTGCAAAAATTATGGAACCAAGCTGAGGCCTGGATTTTTGCTAATTTACCTATAATTTTATCGATTTTATTATTAATTCTTCAACGGAATTAAGCTTAAAGCTATTTACTTTCGGGCTCTTTCCATTTTTCATTATTGCAGGTGGAAAAGGAAATGGAATTTTAAGTTGGTGAATCGTTATTTATAAGCGTTAAGACGTTTATTACCTTAGAATTCCACTTAACTGGAAATAATTATTGTTTAATTTTTTTAATGATATAAAAATGGAATTGTTTTTTGAAGTTATAAGATGGGAAAAAAAAGGCTATTGTTATTGCATATTCGGTTTGCTATGTGTGTTTTAAATGTAGTATAAACTCATAGCAAAGTAAAATGGGCCATTGCAATTACAGAAATGAATGACTAGATCAGGGCCGGATTGTAATGATCCAGATTACTTACCATGACTTAATTTTAAAAATTCTTTAAAACCATTTTTAAAGTAAACTTGGGTACCGGAATTTTAGAATTTTTTGTTAAAAAAAAAAACTTAAATCCTTAAAACTAAATTTTCCTTTCAAAACCTTTTTAGTTGCTTTGAAATTTCCTTCTTTTCATCATGCGGCGTTAAACTTAGCACTTCCTTTACGCATAATATACTGAAAACTAGTGTCGTAATATTTATATTATATGCGGAATATAAATACTTTAGTCTTAAACTTAACATGGTAGGACATTAAAATAATTGCATAAGAATATCTATTTTACAAATTTCCTTCACTTTAGTCTTCGTTTTAACCTCCAAAAGAAACCCCTTAGTTATGGTTATAAAAATTAGTATCTCACATATTTTAACAGTGTCTAGTGCTGTCCAATTTACTATAAGAATTCTGCAAAAAAACTCAATTTTTCAGGGTCCGTTTAGTTCGTTGATTCGATTTTTAATTTGAGTTGAGATGTGACTTTATGTGAGAGTTTTTTACTGTAACAAAAAAGTTAGATGTAACTATTTCTGAGAGCTTTTTATTATAACAAAATTCGAATTCTAAACTCAAATCGGTAAAATGAACGGGGCCTCAATCTTTACAAAATTGAGTTTTAACAATTTTTGGCATTATTGCCCTTAAAGATTTTGCTCATTCTTATGGCTTCAAAACAGTTTCCAGCCCTTCCTAAGCTCATTTAAAACCGATTCCAGCAAGTAAAAACTGTCACTTTGCTGCAGAAAAATTAAATTCACAATTTTAACCCGATTTCAGCTATTTCGACGATTTAGCCCATAAAGGTTGATTTTGTTGTCTCTAAACCTTCTTGCATTATTTTTCAACCAAAATTTTAACACGAATGCTGTCATGGAACTTAGGATATGCCGTTGCAGCAGTTTGCAAAAACAAGCATGGTAGGTTTCTGTTTTTGCACTTTTAACCCGAAATAGTCAAATCTTTAAAATCTAGTCCTTCAAGCTATTTTAATCAAATTTTTTAGGGTTCTCAAAATACGAGAATTAATGTCAAAGTGCTTCCTTAGCACAAAATTCTTAACACACACACTTTTCTATTTTTTGAGTCCAAAAATCAAATTTTCACTATTTTTTCTCATCATACTTCATAATAGTCGTACTTGAACATCAAAGTTAGAGCAAACATAACTCCAACACCTACCATATATTTTTCATCATTTCATGATGCTAAAACACACTTCAACATTCGAGAATTATATTATTACTTAACATTTTCATGCCATAGTCCTTACTTTGAATAGTGTTTTTGTATCTAATTGAATAGTCTTATGTGTCTAGATGAATCGTAAGTGTATCCACCTTTAATATATAGTTATATATATATATATATATATAGCATTGTGCACTGAAATGAAATTTAAAGAAAAAAAAGGAATATCATCTTATACCATTCAAAATTAACAAAATAACACACTACATCAAATGAGGAAAAACAAATAACAACCAAAATAAAAGGCAACAAAGTTAAAGTAATAATACTACAAATTTAATATTAAAACTCATTAAAACCTTCTCCACTAAAAAGAAGTATACTTTTCTACTTCAATAATTTTCAAAAGCTTATTTTTGAGATTGAATCAAACTTTTTATTTCTTTTTTGTCTTGAGTTTGTCGTGCCGATACAAATTTTCTTGTGAACATATTTATTCTTAAAACATAATTTTGATATGCTTGAAAACCATCAACACAATATAACACAACAATAACAAAAAGTAAAATGGCTAATTTATAACTCAAAAAACAATAATCAACAAGTAGATAAAAAATAATGAGTAAGAGAGGTACATTATAACCTAAAAACTTGTATAAAAAATATTGAGAAAAGAGTAGTAGTACAAGTAAAATATAGTGTTTGTGTAGTTCACTGATTCGAATTTTTAATGTGAGTTAAAATGTGATTTTATATGAATTTTTTATTATAGTAAAAAAATTAAATATAATTATTTCTGAGAACTTTTTACTATATTAAAACTCAAATTTTAAACTTAAATTATAATAAAACTCAAATTTTAAATACGATCTCAAAATATATTCTCGTTGATTCTACTCTATATGGGCAATTCTACAGTAGAAGGCGATTTTTCCCCAATCAGTAGGGTAAAATAGTAAAGACCGTTGGATTAAAAATTCATCGTCCAAAAAAAAAAAAAATTCCTTCCCCAACGCAAATTTGCAGACCTAATCCCTAATTTGCAAACCCATCTTTGATACCTTAACTTAATTTGCAGACCCACCAGCCACACCTCCCGGCGTCGCAAGCCGGCATAATGGACCCCGTTTCGGACTTTGTCAAGAGACCTATTGATTAATGGGAGGAAGAGCATGGGATTTGTCGGTTGGTTTGATTTTCCGTTGATTGTGGGTCCGGGTTTCCATTTCTTCATCATCTTGTTGCTCGTTCATCAAAGAGACTAAATTCGCTGAAGATCTCGGATTACATGCGCTTAACAATACTCAGACTTCTTCGAAAACAGGTTACTCTCTAATCTTTGGGGTTTTTTTTTTTTTTTTTTTGAAAAGGAAAATCTAGTTTATACGTTATGGTTATTACTAATATGATTATTGTTATCGTTATTATTTTCTGAATTTTGTGTAAGTTATTATTATGTCCACAATTTGCAGAGTTCATATTTGTCACGAGAATATAGAAGAGGTGTTTGGGGAAGAAGAAAATGATGGACTTTTCGAGGAAACAATAGATTCGGAAACTGGAGCAAACAACACCATACTCTCATTCACTTTTTCTCTCTTGAGTCCAAAATCACCCAGTTTAGGGACTTGGATTTGCTTGTTTCGAAATCAACCAGTTTAGGAATTTTGATAATTTGAAGGTTGGTTTCTGGGTTGTCTGAATTCTTTGGAATTGTTGATTGCAAGGAAAATTTGATAATTTGAAGGTTTCGGAGTTGTCTTAATTCATAAAATTTGATCATTTGATAATTGTTGCTTGAATTGTTGGTTTCTGGGTTGTTGAGATTCTGAGGAGTTTTGGATTGCGAGGAAAATTCTTGATTTTAAGGTTGGTTTTTACTTTCTGTGCGTACTAAACTATTGTTCTTCATTCTAAAAAAAAAAAAAAAGAACTATTGTTCTTCAGTTTTTTATTTTTATTTTTTTAATACAGGCTACAATCCGGTGTTAATGAGACTACGTAAACCTTCACTAAGATTTAATATGGATAGTTGGATTTCACATTACCGGTAGGGGAAAAAGCTTCCCCTACCATAGACATGTCAAAAAAATATAATAGAAACAGGCCTAAATTGTAGGCTAAAACTTTGGGGCCTTAAGCAGCCGCTTAACTTGCCTTAGGGTTAAGCCGGCTCTGGACTAGATCATGGATTCTGCTTTTTTTTATTCATACATATCATCAAAGACATTTTATCATTCAAGCATTTATTTTTATGTTATTTTTATTTTCCAGATTCAAGGATAACATAGAAAAAAGAAGGGGGGATTTGACATTTGTAGCTTTGTTACCACTTCTTGTTCTTCATCTTTGTTCCTCGTCCTTGTAGAGGAAGAGGGATCATTGTCGGTTTTCGGGTTAGGATTTTCGTCAGCTCCTTGATGGTCAAGAATGGCCAAAGTCAGGGACAGGACTGAGGATTTCAAAGATGCTGTGAGGCACACTGCTCTCTCTTTGGGATATGATGAGGTTTTGTATTTCTAACCTTTCAATTTCGTGTTATTCATCTATGAATACTGAGATGATTTTGTTACAATCAGAGGCTTTTGGTGATCACGTGTTCTTTTTACAGTCTAAATTGGCAGCCATTTTGGCAAATTTTATCATCCACAAGCGTCGCCAAAGATCACCTTTCACTAAAGCCGCCCTCAAAACAGTATGCGCACCATTACCAAACCATTCATCTTGTTTATAAAATTCCTTAGTTTAATTTCTGTTCTGGTGTTGGATGTGCTTTCTTTCCTCTATTTAGCTTGAGAGCATTGGGACTCTAGAACATTTTATGCTGAAACATCGCAAGGATTATGTGGATCTGCATCGAACTACTGAACAAGAGAGAGATAGCATTGAGCATGAAGTAAGTCATAATTTGGTGTTTCTGTACTGGAATTTCACGACATATTATTATTTGGATTATTAACACCATTCTTTCTGATGCTAGAATTTTACATTTTGGATTTTATTATTTCAAAATCAAATGAACTGTCTCAGATAATCAACGGATTTTTACCTAGATAGATCTTATCTTTCTTCACTTATTTTATTTCACAGATGCCATGCATTTTATGCCTCGGCAATCCCTTAGTGCACACGCATATGCCATTTATTTTAGAGAAACTACTTGGTGGGTACTTTATTTTCTTTTGAATATGATTGTAATCACAATATTTAATGAGTTGTAATTAATATACATCTTTATCATCGTAACTAATATGCGTCTTTATCTTTTCTTAGTGCCTAAAGATTGCTTGGTCTAGTGGCATAGGGGGGTTTGGGTGGGATGGGGTCTGGGAGAGGTTGCCGGTTCGATTCCGTGTTGTATTTTTTTTTTTTAAATCTTTATCTTAGTTTTACGTGGTAGATTCTGTATTTTTTTTTTTTTTTGATTCATTCAGCTATTAATCGAATGCAGGTCAGTGCTTTTATTAAAGCATGCCAAGAACAAATTGATGTTCTAAAAAACAGCATAAATGATGAAGAAGATACTTCAAAAGGCTGGTTTGGCATTAGGGCTGATAAATTTAATGCTGATACGGTAGCACACAAACATGGGGTGGTAGGTTTCAATTTGTACTCTCATCTTTTATTCATACTATTTGATCGTTGTCTTTTATGTTTTTACGTGTCCTCCAGGGCAGAAACCTTGCAATTTATCACCTTACTTTAGTGTTGTGAAATGATACGATCTTCTCGTGACATGCAATTACAACTAATCCTGGCTATTTGCGAGTTCATTGTTGTTCAATCTGTTCAGTTTGAAATTTTAAATTTCCATCTCCTTATTAGGAAACTTTATTAATCAAATGAATATTATGATTTGGTAATTTGGTTTTTTCTTATGCCAGTTTCTTGACTGCAGGTTTTGAGTTTAAGTGAGAGACTTCACTCTGTTACATCCCAGTTTGATCAGCTTAGAGCCATACGCTTTCAAGATGCCATCAGTAAGGCAACACCAAGAAGAAAATTTAAACCCGTTGTCAAGTCAAGTTCTGAAGACGCATCTAAATCAAACAATTTAGACGTCAGAGAACTTGATCAATTTCGACCCGAGCCTCTAAAAGTTCAGCAACAGCTTTTGGATGATGAAACTCGTGCTCTTCAGGTAATCACAGTATAAGAACTTCAGTGGCATCTTTTTGTTTCTTTTTTTGTGCTTTTCTGTCATGTTATTCCTAATTGCTTCATCTCAAATTGCAAGTTTCCCTTAAAATTAAAGCTGTTTGTTGCTGTTGCTGTTGTTGATTTGCAGGTAGAGCTGAGTAGTCTTCTAGATGCGGTCCAGCAAACGGAAACTAAGATGGTGGAAATGTCAGCGTTGAATCATCTCATGGCCACACATGTTTTGCAACAAGCACAACAAATAGAACAGCTATACCTGCAGGTTAGATGCCCAGTACATGTTGATGTTCATTCATTTTTCTTGTAGCTTATAAGGTTCTTACGGTATGCATCTACTTTTTAACCTTATTATTTTGCTAAGATGTCTACTGCATGTTTGAAATTTGCGGAAAATTTATATTTTAAACCATAATACCTTTGTGTTAAAAGATAATGTTTATATTGTCACTGGAATCACGATTTTACATACATCCTTTTTAGTTTTTTCTTGTTAGAAAAATGAACTTCTGTTTATTTGTGAGTGTGATTCTCTGCAGTTTAAGTGTTTGGAGATGGGGATTGGGATTTCCAACTAATCTAAAAGGAACTACACATTTAACTAAAACGTTGTCCATATTGCATCAAAAATGAAGATGTTCATATTACCCTCTAAAACACAACACCCAAAAAAAAAAAAAAAAAAAACACACGAGGAGAATAATAAATAAAAAATTTAGTTTTACTGTTTGATTTTAGAGACACTGAAGTTAGCATATGGGCAGCGAACCTGGTTGCTCCATATACTTTCCTGCCAAATAAATATATGTATACTATATTCAAGAATATAATAATCAATAAATATATTTCTGAATAATGACTGCTACAAATTAGTTGTGGTGCAAATTTAACTTGCCCTTTCCTTTATTTTGCAAGAGTAGTTAAGATATTTTCAATTATCTTTCTTGATGATTGCATGGTCAAAGACATGGATTTAAGCTTAATATTGAGAATGTACCTTTCAGGCTTTCAATGAATGCATAAGGCTTGGCTTTTATAACTGGCAATATGCAAATTTAAGTCCTTATTTGTCAAGCACAATTTTTTCTCAGTAAATAGCTGTAGCATTACTTATGAAAGAAGAAAAGGTATGCACATCATTAACTCAATTTCGTATGATAAAGATCATTTAGCAGTGATTATGTGTCTCATTCACTGAGAAATTAGCAATCATGTATAACATTGCATTTACAAGTTAACAGGTTTTCATGTTTGCATAACAAAATCGTAAACAGAAGCTTCTCGGAAATTATTTCTTATTGCGACCCGCTTTCTTTTGGAATGGCAGGCAGTTGAAGCGACAACGAATGTAGAGTTGGGTAACAAAGAACTGTCCCAAGCTATCCAGCGGAATAGTAGCAGCAGGACCTTTCTTCTGCTCTTCCTATTTGTACTCACCTTCTCAATTCTATTTCTTGATTGGTATAGTTAAATCGATTGACGGCATATGCTAATTTTACCTCCCCGGTTTTGAAAATGATTACATTTCTCCTTGGTACTTTTCTTGGGGGAAAAAAAAAGGAAAAGAAAAAAGTACCAGAATTTGAAAAGAGGAAAAGCAATCACACGGAGGAAAAACAAGTGAAACGCTTGAAGGTTGACGGTTGGAATCGTGTTTCCTTTGTTAGAAAAACATGTTCCTCCTTAATGACGTGATGTCATTCCTTTATGAGTTTGCTATCGCCTTTGTCAAAAAATGTAATGTTTGTCTTGAGGACCAAAGTTATACACCTATTGTCGTTTAAGAAAATGGCGACATGAATTTGTCATCACCAGTTGTTTTTTTTTTTTTTTTCCGAGCTCAAACGACACGTCACTTAATTTTAAATTTGACGACACAGCATGTAGACCATATATTAATCAAACGCATGAGAAATACACAAATAAATGTTGGTGTTAGTGTGTCTCAATTGGCAATCCGTAGCTGTTGAAACTAATCAATTCAAATGGTAAACAAATAATACAGGAAAGCAGGTAAAAGAAAAGTGAAATTTGTTTTTGTCAGTTTTTAAGAATTTGAATAGCAATGTACAAGATTAATGGTAAAATTTAAGTTGAACATAAAAGAATTGGTAAAATATAAAATGATAACTGGAAATAATAAAAATTGAGTGGGGAATTAAGGAGATTTATGTGGAAAATTTCAAAGATTTGGAGGTTATATATAAATTAAGAGTTAATATCGCAAATGTTTCTTGAGGTTTACCCTCAATTTCATTTTGGTCTCTAACTTTAAGGCATCGTTCATTTCACCGATTCGAGTTTTTAGTTTTAAGTTTTTACAGTAAAAAACTCTCAGAAAATGTCACATCTAACTTTTTTTGCTACAGTGAAAAGCTCTCAAAAAATATCACATCTCAGTTCGAATTGAAAACTTGAATCCGCAAAGTGAACGAGGCCTAAAATGTCTCACAGTTGATCTTTGAGGTTTTATTTTGTTTCAGTTTCTATTAACTTTGTCTAACTTTTTTTGCTACAGTGAAAAGCTCTCAAAAAATGTCACATCTCAGTTCGAATTGAAAACTTGAATCCGCAAAGTGAATGAGGCCTAAAATGTCTCACAGTTGATCTTTGAGGTTTTATTTTGTTTCAGTTTCTATTAACTTTGCGTTGAATATTTGACGGAATCTGTGAAAGTTAGGGACCAAAATTAGAAATATATGAATTTAGAGATTACAACAATACAAAAAATAAAAAATAATTTCTATAGATAATTTAAAAATTTTAACTATTTTCAATTCACGCGGATTTCATCACAAAAAAATAACAATCATTTTTTTTACTAAAATAATAATCATTTATAATGTAATAAAAATCAAAATAAAATTATTGTTGTGCTTGAAATTCTTGTTTTTTCTCTCACCAAGGTAAGAAAGAAGCTCTTTGAAGAGTTAAAACAAAGGTGATGAACTCGTCAGTGTTGATTCGTGTTCGCGTGCTATATTCTGACCGGTACGATTATGGCACAATACTATTAGAGTGAACACGAATACGATATGATTAATAAACGTATCAGGAACTCAAACATGAACACGAAACATTTATTATACGAATAACACGACACAACATGCGAACACGTTTATTAAACGAGTCGTGATAGACTGACATGAAAAAAACACGTTTATGACATGTTTATGATATACTTAATAGGATGTGGTATGAAAATTAATACTTTTATATTTAAAAATAACATTAATTAACTAAATATTAATTATAGCTAAAATAAGCTAGCATATGATAACAAGTTTGTAGATATCTTATATATTTTGTATGTTTTAATACTTGAGTTTATTGTTTGCATGTACATGGGCATTAAAAGGGTGTATACATATCGTGTCATGTCGGCACGTTTAAGACCCATATAATTAAACATGTTAAACGTGTTAAGCGGGTTGGCATGTATCCATACCGTTTATTTTTGTGTTATTTGTGTCAACTTGCTAATGAACCATATATTAAATGTGCAGTCCAAATCATTTACTTTGTGTCGTTTTTGTACAATGACATCTTGACATGTCCGAAATTGCCGGCCCTACTCGTCATCGACACAAACAAACATCAACAAGTCTATGTTTGACTGACAAGAACATGGTGATCATATTAGCCGCTTTGTTCTTCTCCTTTTTTATGTTCTTTTAAGTTCTTCAAAAGAAGTATTTTAGGGCCCGTTTAGTTTGCTGATTCGAGTTGAGATGTGAATTTATGTTCTTCAAAAGAAGTATTTTATGTTCTTTTAAGTTCTTTAAAGATGTTTCCTACTTAAAGATGCAAAAAGAAAAGAAATAAACTAAGAAGATGTGGGAAACAATCTTGAGTTTAAGTTAAGAAGAAGAGAAGAAGAAGAGGATTGTTTCCTACTTAAAGATGTTTCAAGAAGAAGAAGAAGAAGAAGAAGTAGGAAACAATCTTGAGTTCAAGTTAGGAAGAAGAGAAGAAGAAGAGGATGGTTTCCTACATAAAGATGTTTCCTACTTAAAGATGTAAAAAAGCAAAGAAATAAACTAAGATCGATCAAGAGTTCAAGTTAAGAAGAAGAAGAAGAGGATTTTTTCCTACCTAAAGATGTTTCAAGAAGAAGAAGAAGAAGAAGAAGTAGGAAACAATCTTGAGTTCAAGTTAAGAAGAAGAGAAGAAGAAGAGGATTGTTTCCTACTTAAAGACTTTTCCTACTTAAAGATACAAAAAAGCAAATAAATAAACTAAGATCGAAGAAGAAGAGGAGGATTGTTTCCTACTTAATGGTGCAAAAAAAAAATAAAAAAATAAAGAAATAAACTAAGAAGAAGAAGAAGAAGAAGAAGAAGAAGATGACGATGATGATGAAGAAGATGATGATGATGATGATGATGATGATGATGATGATGATTGTTTCCTACTTAAAGATGTTTCCTACTTAAAGATGCAAAAAAGCAAAGAAATAAACTAACGTCGAAGAAGAAGAAGAAGAAGAAGAGGATTGGTTCCTACTTAAAGATGTTTCCTACTTAAAGTTCCAAAAAAGCAAAGAAATAAACTAAGATTGATCAAAGACGAAGAAGACTTCCTAATTCAAGTTAAGAAGAAGAGAAGAAGAAGAGGATTAGAGGATTGGTTCCTACTTAAAGATGAAAAAGCAAAGAAATAAACTAAAATTGATCAAAGAAGAAGAAGACTTCCTAATTCAAGTTAAGAAGAAGAGAAGAAGAAGAGGATTAGAGGATTGGTTCCTACTTAAAGATGAAAAAGCAAAGAAATAAACTAAGATCAATGAAGAGTTCAAGTTAAGAAGAAGAAGAGGATTGGTTCCTACTTAAAGTTACAAAAAAGCAAAGAAATAAACTAAAATTGATCAAAGAAGAAGAAGACTTCGTAATTCAAGTTAAGAAGAATAATAATAATAAGAAGAAGAAGAGGATTGTCTCCCACTTCCTAAGGAATGTCTCCTACTTCCTACTTAAAGACGAAAAAGCAAAGAAATTAACTAAGATCGATCAAGAGTTCAAGTTAATAATAAGAAGAAGAAGAATAAGAAGATTGTTTCCTACTTCCTACTTAAAGATGAAAAAAGCAAAGAAATAAACTAAGAACGATCAAGAGTTCAAGTTGAGAAGAAGAAGAAGAAGAAAAAGAATACGAAGATTGTTTCCTACTTCCTACTTAAAGATGAAAAAAGGAAAGAGATAAACTAAGATCGATCAAGAATTCAAGTTAATTAGAAGAAGAAAGAAGTTGAAGAAGAAGAAGATTGTTTCCTACGAAGAAGAAGAAGAAGAAGAAGAAGAAGAAGAAGAGGAATGTTTCCTACTTAAAGATGCAAAAAAACAAAGAAATAAACTAAGACAGAAGAAGAAGAAGAAGAAGAGGATTGTTTCCTACTTAAAGATGTTTCCTAATTAAAGATGCAAAAGGCAAACAAATAAACTAAGATCAAAGAAGAAGAAGAAGAAGAAGAAGATTGTTTCCTACTTAAAGATGTTTCCCACTTAAAGATGCAAAAAAGTAAAAAAATAAACTAAGATCGATCAAGAGTTCAAGTTAATAAGAGGAAAAAAGCAAAGAAATAAACTAAGATCGCAGAAGAAGAAGAAGAAGAAGAGGATAAGATGTTTCCTACTTCAAGATGCAAAAAAGCAAAGAAATAAACTAAGATCGATCAAGAGTTCAAGATAAGAAGAAGAAAAGAAGAAGAGGATTGTTTCCTACGCAAAGATGCAAAAAAGCAAAGAAATAAACTAAGATCGAAGAAGAAGAAGAAGAAGAAGAAGAGGATTGTTTCCTACTTAAAGATGTTTCCTACTTAAAAATGCAAAAAAGCAAAGAAATAAACTAAGATCGAAGCAGACGAAGAAGAAGAGGATTGTTTCCTACTTAAAGATGCAAAAAAGCAAAGAAATAAACTAAGATCAAAGAAGAAGAAAAAGAAGAAGAGGATTGGTTCCTACTAAATGGTGTTTCCTACTTAAAGTTGCAAAACAACAAAGAAATAAACTAAGATCGATCAAAGAAAAAGAAGACTTCCTAATCATGTTAAGAAGAATAATAATAATAAGAAGAAGAAGAAGAAGAGGATTCTCTCCGACTTCCTAAGGATTGTCTCCTACTTCCTACTTAAAGATGAAGAAGCAAGGAAATAAACTAAGATCGATCTACAGTTCCAGTTAATAAGAAGAAGAAAGAAAGAAGAAGAAGAATATTGTTTCCTACTTAAAGATGAAAAAAGGAAAGAAATAAACTAAGATCGATCAAGAGTTCAATTTAATAAGAAGAAGAAAGAAGAAGAAGAAGAAGAAGAAGAAGTAGGTTGTTTCCTACTTAAAGACGAAAAAAGCAATGAAATAAACTAAGATCGATCAAGAGTTCAAGTTAAGAAGAACATGATTGTTTCCTACTTAAAGATGTTTCCTACTTAAAGATGACGAAAAAAGCAATGAAATAAACTAAGATCGATCAAGAGTTCAAGTTAAGAAGAAGAGAAGAAGAAGATGAATGTTTCCTACTTAAAGATGCTTTTCCTACATAAAGATGACGAAAAAAGTAATGAAGTAAACTAAGATCGATCCAGAGTTCAAGTTAAGAAGAAGAGAAGAAGAAGAGGATTGTTTCCTACTTAAAGATGCAAAAAAGCAAAGAAATAAACTAAGATCGAAGAAGGAGAAGGAGAAGGAGGAGGAGAAGGAGAAGGAGAAGGAGAAGGAGAAGGAGAAGAAGAGTTTAAGTTTAGAAGAAGAAGAAGAAAAAGAAGGAGACGAAGAGTTCAAGTTAAGAAGAAGAGAAGAGGAAGAGGATTGTTTCCTACTTAAAGATGTTTCCTACTTGAAGATGCAAAAAAGCAAAGAAATAAACAAAGATCGAAGAAGAAGAAGAAGAAGAAGAGGA